ATTATTCTCCTTAATCTCCCCTTGTGATGGGATTTGCATATCCCACCTGCCAGTGGCAGAAGCTCCTCACCACCTCCCAAACTCTTTCACAGAGACCAGCATCACACAATGAGAAGCCTTTCTTCCAGTCCTCACAGATTCTCTTTCACTTACTGCTTTCTCTCAGAGCACGGCTCTTCTTATTAACAATTTCCCATGTATGCTATTTCATATTCTGTAAATGAAAAGCCTGTGTTTTATCCATCTAGAGATGAACTGCAACACAGAAGAAAGAAATACTATGGCTGTTGAGTCATTTTTTTGAAAATTCAAACACACACAGAAGAAAATAAATACAAAAAAATCCTCAAGACCTCTGGTTAAAGAATAAAGTCCTACTCAGCTACAGGAAATTTAGAGGAGGTTTCATATCTAGAGTGGATGTGAAGTATTTTATTATCCAACAGTACTAAATATAATCAAGACAAAAATATGAAACAAGGGACTTTTAGCAATATTTTAATTTGATTTGATTTTTTTTTTCCTGGTTTAAATTCCCGTTTTTGTTTCCTCACTTTTTATTCAGCCCTTCCAAAATATATTCTCCGTAACTCCAGCAAGAGATTAGTCTGAAACAGTCTCAGCATCCGGTGCATTATACTCTTAATAGTATTATATATTCTTGTAATTTGTACATAATACAGACTCCATCTCACTGAATTATATTAATGCCAACATCCTCCTTGCATGAATCTTTTTGGCAGCTGTTTTCAGCTCCCTAGGAATCAATCTCAGTACGAAGAAACTGACATTGGGTTCATTCCTCACCATGGGTCTCACTGAGGATCTGGCTCTGGGCTCCATATCCACATTCATTACTTTAAAATTCCTCCTTTATAATGATTCAATTGCCACGGGCTATCACAGCATCATGCAACAAAATGCTGGTCACTCATGGGATGATGCTGGCACCCCTGATAGTTTTAATCTGGAGCCACAGCTCTGCCAACAAGAGAAAGGCGGAGGCTATCAACTATATCCTCTTGCATGAACATGACATTTGGGCAAAGTCTCCAAGTGAAATGAAAAGAAGAAAATAATTTTATTATGGTCCCCCATTCTGGACTGAATAGAACACTGGCAATTTAAGGTACCTTAGCCATGCCTTTACTGCCTCACTTGTAAAAAAAACAATATATTTGTTATCATTTTCATTCATCAAAAGCAAAAATCAGATTCAAATTCGACTTCTTGGCAAACTGACTCCTAGAAATTCAGAGTTCACTGTACGCAACCTGTTGTACAAGCAGATACAGAAAGAAGAGTGCTTGCTTGATTTAACAAACCAGAGGCTGAAAGGGAATATCATCACTGCCTGTAAAATAATTCCAGGGAATGTTAAGTGCCAGGGAAGGAAAATAATAGCATCTCTATTCCAAAAGCTCATTATGGACATCACCTAGAGACTTGCTTCTCTCCATTAAAGCCAGGTCTCTCTTTTAGCTCCACACAAAATCTCTGCTAGTTCTTTTCCCCTAGTCTATAGCATGGCATTAAGGGAGCTGTAGAGACTCCAAACCTACAGTGTCAGGACACACTGCATCAGCAACACGTTTGGGATCTCCATGAGCTAGGAAACCTGACAACTTCCACACCGTTGATGACATTCCTCAGTGGTGCAAAAATGCAAGAGATCTCACTTGTGTATCTTGCAGAAGAGATCTGAGAAAAATTTCAGGTCATATGAACTTTTACTCCAGTTTTATAGGGGCCAGTGGAAAGACACTCAGGATCCTTACCTGCATCAGTGCAGGTAAGTACTGCCAGGACCCATTAACAGACTCAATAATCTAGGCTCCTTGGATCATCCCAGCCAGTCCAGCACTCAGTGCATCCAGGGACCCTTTTCAGCACCCACTTTTTGCTGCAGCCGCTCTTCTCTGTCTTGAAGACCAAAAGAGCTCAGGATTGTGGAGATGCAGGACAGCTTTGTGTGGCCTCACTCACCTCCACTGGAGTCAGAGAAAGCCTGAGGCCCACCTGTATTTTAATGTAACACTGGATACACTCCTGATTTCATCCTCATCAGTCATTTGACAAAGCCAGTCTTGCTACACCTATGCTCTCCTCTGGGGAACTCCTGCTGACTCCATCAGTGAAACAAGGTACAGAGGAGAGATTACAGAATATGTGAACTGTGTCACTACAGATGAGCAGAGCATGCTCCAGCAGAGTGTCTGGATATGAATGTGGATCTGGAGAGCAAGCTGTCCAGGGAGTACCTAAAATCATTGATGAGCCAAATAAGCACTGATATAAAACAATTTATGTTGATGGAGTTAAACTTGGACAACTTGTACTATCATTTATTATTCTTACTGTACCTGTGGCTTAGCATACAGCGAATTCAGAGCAAAATGCCATCAGTTCAGTGGTGCACACACTCAATATAAAATCACAGACAAGCTTGAGAGAAGCTGCAAACACCCAGAAGAATCCCGTACAGAACTCAGGAGTTCTCTCTCCTCCACAGCAGCATTGCAATTATATCCACACCACTACCAAAATAAGGATACAAACAAGGAACCACATTGAGACTGACAGGATAAGGTACACTGCAATACAAAAACTTGATGGTGACAATGCTTTAATTTTCCAGTTTTTCCACCTACCAGGATTTCAAATATTTTGAGCTTTGTTTTTGTTTTTCCTGTCCTCACACAGATACGGCAAAGTATGATCTTCACACTGCCCCTCTGCCTGGGCAAAAGGCAAAAGCTGGTTGACAGCAGCACTTCCAGAGCACACCAGAATGAAAACAAGCAGAGGTGTGTTGCATCCCCATGCCACAGCATGGAAACTCCAGCAGGAAGCCAGCAGCTGCTGCTCTCGGAATGCAGATGGGGCACTGGGGTTATGTAGCATTTCACAAGCAGCACATTGGGATCCTCTGCAACTTCCATGCAGGCAAAACTATGCACACTGTACCCTAAAGGAAGAGTTTCACCCCAAGCCCATTCCACTCCCAACTCCAGCACTGATGGGAACCCAAAACCTCCACACAGCGACAATGGGTCGGGCCCATTTTGGGCTCCCTCTGAACACACACCATTGCTTCAGCTGAGCCGGACAAGCCTGCTGGGCACCCAAGTCCTGCTGGGGCCCAGCTTCACTCTGTGCTGTGAGGGGGCTGCAAGCACAGCACGAAACAGAACAGCACTGCCAGAGCCCCCGCAGTGAAGGGGTGAGCATAATACCCCTGTACATGATGCAACCTGCAGCTCTTCGGGAAGGACAGTCGCAAAATGTTTCCCCCTGAAAACATTTGTACACCAACACACTCAGAAAGTAAATCAGTCCCTGACAACAGCAGCCCACACTACCACAGTGGGCAGAAACACATACACAAATATATGTGTACCTACACACATATATGACAGTAGATGTGTCTTGAAAAATGTACAGGTGAAACATGATGGCAGTGATAGACCAGAGAAACTGCTGCCTGCTGGATGACTTTCTATATCAGAATCTTTTTTCTTAGCAAATGGGTCACTTGAAACCAGTGTCAGTCTCAATTCAATTTGTATGAACAGACCTGAGCTCCTACAAGGCCGCTTCTGTTCACACAACTATTTAAGAATAGTCTAGCTGAGCTGTGAAGAAAGGGGAAAGTCCTTCAAAATGGAAATGACAACTATTCCCTTGTCAATTAATTGATTAAAAACTTCCTGATGAGACCATAAAACCATGTCCCAATTAACTAGGGCTGAACCCCACAGTGAAGTCCTTACGACATCCGCTGCAATTCTAAATTGAGTAGCTCAGTATAATCTATACCAAAAGGAATTCATAATGACTAGACTATAATTTCAAAATGTTATCAGTCTCCTAGTACTGAAAGCTGAGTGGGGTGCCAAAGATTTCTGCCAAGCAGCCGGAGACCTTCTGGCATTACAGTTGCAGACACCTTAGAGGAGAGCCTGAGTCCCTGTTTCTCCTGGGAACTTATATGGGCAGCAGTCACGTAGTGGTGGCATCCCTTTCTCTCTCATTAGCATTCTGCTTGGTGTCTCTAAGAGGCAAAGTTGGAGAATCCGGACAAACAGATCCCTCCACTTCTGCTGGTCCTTAACAGGCAGTGTTAAGGGCAGGCAAAGAGCACTCCAAGCAATTTACCCTTGCCTTCCCTGGGCCTCAGCCCTCAGCTCCATGTACCACGGCAGCAGAGGCTGGAGGGATACAGTGCCCAAGTTAACCTGGTAACTTTGATGTCGTGACTATGGCTCCAGCCTGGAAATCAGCTGCCTACTTCTCTGGCCAGTTTTGCTCTGCTTGGCTCAAGTCAGAGCTGTTCTGATGCTATTCCTGAGACACATGCAGGTTACGAGGAAGAAACAAAACTCCTATTTAACAACTTGGTGGCAAGAGCCAAAAGCAGCTTTATCCCCTACACAGACACACCTTGGAGACAAAGTCCTGAAGCCCTCCAGCATCTCCGCATCAGCAGGGCCTGAGGATGAGCCCTTGGGCTTATGTGAGCCCCCACAGCTGGCAGGAGAAGCAGCAGTAGAGGGGCTTTCCCTGGGCATCCTTCCAGCTGAGCCTCCCAGGCTGCCCGTGAGGGTTATCCTGGGCAGAAGGCTGCATGCGAAGGCGCATCCCCCAGGAGACCCTTCCCGTGGCGCCGCGGGCGGTGGCAGCGCTGGATCCCGCTCTGCTCCGGGGCGAGGGACACGGGGGCCGGGAGGGGGATGCGCTCAGCGGGCGGGCGGGTAGCGGAAAGTTTTTCTACTCCACAAGAATGGCCCTTTTGAAGCCCTTCTGCCCCACTGCACACTGCTAAGCGAAGCCAATCCCCGGCGCCCGGAGGCGCAAAATCCCCTTCGAAGAAGAAAAACCCAGCACCCACCCCCCACCCCCGATTACACACACACGGGGGAAGGGGGAGAGAAAATGAAGGGGAGAGGGGGGGGAAATAAGGAAAGCACGGAGGAGCCGCCCCCGCCCGCGGTACTCACGCTGCTGTTGTGGCCGGACCAGTGCACCATGGCCTGGTTGTGCGCCGAGTCTCCGGCCAGGGCGAAGGTGGTGCTGGCCAGCCGCAGCTCCTCCAGCCCGAAGCGGGCGGCGCCGCCGTCCCCCGGCTCCCGCCCCGCGGCGCCGCCCGGCCCNCGCACCGCGCCCGGCCGGCCCGCCCGGGGGGGGCCCTGGAGGGGTCGGTCCTCGGCCGGAGCCGCCGCTGCCGCCCGGGGACGGCGCTCCCCGGCCACTTTCTCTCGCTCCCTCGTCACTCGCCGTGTCTCCCAGCCGCTGAATTTCATCCCCGCGGAAGCAGGGGCGAGGGTCTCTTGCAGCCCGGCATCCTCCGTGCCGGCCTCTTGCCCTCTCTCACCTCCTTTCTCCCCGAGGAACCTCCTTTGCTCCTTTTCTCCTCTGTCGGTCCTCAAGTGCATCAGTAATCCCTGCTGCGGCTGCTGCTGCGGCTGCACCTGGGAACGGCAGGATCTGCAAGTTATTTCTGCACCGGTAAAGCCATAAGTGAAGAGGAAAAGCCATGTCCAGTACAGGAGAGCAACGTGCCAGGCTGGGTACCAGCCAGCAACTTTTTCCATCGCTGCCGACTGCTGATGAGTGCGAGGGAGAAAGAGCAAGAAGGAGAGCAGGAGCGAGGGAGCCGAGCGCTGCCGATCCAGCCGCCGCGGGGTAAACACGGCGAGAACTCCACGTAAAGTTTCAGACTCTTCTGTGCTAGATGCTGCCGAGGGGTAGAGGAGATTACTTTCTTCCCACCTCTTTTTTCCCCCTCTTCTTTCCTTTATCTTCTTTTGCACTTTTTCTTTTTGTCTCTTTTTTTTTTCCCAAGACTGGTGTTGCTGATGAGGCTTGTGATGGAAGGCAAAGCCACAACCACACGGGGGAGGAGCTGATTTGAAATCAGAGAGAGAGGGAGAGAGAGAGGAGCAAATCCTGGCTGGTGATTTCTCCCGGCTGCCTCCGTGGAAGTCTCCGCTCGCTCCTCTCCCGCTCGCTCTCTCTCTGCTCCCTCTCACTTCGCCGCTTCTGCATCACACTCCTCCCGCAGCCGCCCCGCCAGGCCGCCCCGTGCCTGTGTCGTGAGTGGCTGGTTACTCACTCCCCCTCACGCACACACTCCAGCGACGGACTTACCCCAACTTTCAAACTCGTATCATCCGATCCCTTCCTCCCCTGTGCTTCCCATCAGTTCAAACCCCTAAAGCCTCCTCCCCAGCGTGCTGAAACCTCCGCGCATCCACGGGAAGCAGATGTGCAAAGTGAAGGAACAGTACATGCGTATGTGTGTATAGTCTTCCCAGAGGAACTGTTTTAATTCGAATAATTAAGTGGCCTTAAAGGTCTGAGCAGGCTCTGAAATAACCCTTTTTTTTCTCCCTCCTGCCGTGACTGGTGTAAATGCATTGTCGTTGCTCAGAATAGGCACCTGTGCTTGCTTTTACAGAGGGGAGGTCGCATTTCTGCCCTCTGTTCCCTCCCCCTCTTGTGCTTCACTGTACTGTCGCTTACAGTATCTGCCGATGCTTAAATAAATCACTCATGCACGGCAGAGATGTACTCACATAAATGCTGATGGAGATAGGGACAAGCTTTTGGAAATGAAATGACAGCACATCGTGGAGAGGGAGATTCCCCTCCAGCTGTTTATCAGCAGAAAAAAAAACCCTTGTTGCTTTAGCTGTCTCTCACGCTTTTAGGACCAGCAATTTCTCCCGCAGGAGCTGTGCTCCCCTCTCAGTATCTGTCCTCCCCGCAGGGGGAGCAGCAGCAGTGGTGGCCGGAGGAGATCACCAAGCGCTGCCTGCAGAGCCGGGTGTCTGCTGGCCACGGGAGCTGCCGGTCCCTGACCGCTGACAGCGCTGCTGGTCACTGCCTGCACCGCAGGACAGGGCCTGAGCTCTGACAGGCACTTCCCAATGCCCACGGCCATGAAATCTGGAGGGAATTAAAAGCTGTTCCACTGGAATTTTATTCTATCCCGGTCTGCCTGCTCTCACTCATTCCCATTTGATTTACGAGAGTTTATTTTTTAATTAATATTTTTAACATTTCCTTCCTGACACAGAAGACCTTATTGATTTTTTTTTTTTTTTTTTTTTTGGCAGGGCATTTCAGAAAACGATTTACAGATTTGTTCCACATTCTTCTAGAGATTTCACTCAAATGCTCACTGGTGACATGTCTTGGGATATTAGCACAGGACCAGAGGTGAAGGGAGACTCACAGTAATTCAGGCTGGGCATAACTTCATGCTGCTTACAACAATGATGGATTGTCTGCAATGTAACCACCTGACCTCAGCTAAATCTAGCAATTAACTGCATACCTGTTTCCACATCTCCCAGCTAAATGGTTACTATTAGTTACAGCCTGTCGGGTAATAACAATAATTAACACTCCAGCTTAAACAGCTCCTTCCTTTACTAAGCCCAAAACTCAAAAAGGCCACTTTTGGAGGAAACTGAGTCAAAGTATGATCAGCAGAGTAGTAATGATTGGAAGTGGAGCTGCCTTGTTATCAGCCCAATCCTTTATCTTCTATTCAACAGAATGACCAGGTGGATCTATCCCAGAGGATCGACTAAAAAGTGTCACCTTCCCAACACAAGTCCCTTAAGGAGGCTTTAATCTAAAGGAATGAAATTCAGGGATGAGTAGGTGAGACAGAAAAAGAACTTGGAAGAAGGAAATTAGTAAGAGGTCAGAGGAAATTTCTCTTGGGATTGTAATAGAGATTTGCGTGTCAATGAGTGGCTAAGGCTAAGGAGAGAAACAATATAGCTGCCTCATTTAGGCAGATGATTATCTCTGCATTGTGATGAGTGGCCATCGAGTGATAGGGATGTGCCTGGTGGAGCACACCTTATGCAGTGTGAGCACACTACACCTGCAGAGCTCTTCAACAGATTCACAAGAATCAGTCATGGAGAGAAAATACTGGATCCAGCCTGAGGACCACAGACACATTTTCCAGCATAGACCTTGTTGTGGATGGACACAGGACAGACACATACAGTATGAGCCTTCTCCTGAGCCCTATTTTCAGGAATTATCAGTTTAGGAGATTCTAACAACAGCAGAAACTGCATTGATCCCTTACTTTTAATAATATAGTAGAACTTTTAATGGACCTGTCTTCCCAAAATTTGTCTAATCTGTGTTTATGCTCTTGGTGTCTGAGGCAAGCTGTGATAGTCAAGTTTACAATCTGATTATGTGTACTTCTGAATACTCATGGTCTGCACTTATCTGAGAGAGACATTTTAAATCGCTGTAATCTAATCTTGCTGCCAGCCATCTTTTGCCACAGATGATGTGATGATTGAGCCATCAGAGATAAGAAACCGAGTCTTTGGCACAAAAGAATAATCCGCTGTCCTTTGATGTAAGGGATAGCTTTCTCACCTGGGAGCAGGGAACAAGTTCCTGTATTCAGACAAAAAGAAGCTGGTGTGATGTGACTGAACTCCATGGCTGTGCCCACAAGAGAAAGGAAAGGCTGCATTCATTGGTACCCAGACCTGAGGCACCACCTGATCTGATATTTCAGTACCACATGTGCAGCTCCAGCATCTGGTGAGAAGGTGTTTTCCATAAGAGCTGCTACTCTACCTGGTCAGGAGACTGTTCTGTTTCACATGTCCAGTATTGCCTGGGGAGAGGGGATATGAGCAAGCCATGGGAGCCATGAAACAGGACACAGATACAAAACATGATACCATGAGAGCAAATTAAAATTGCACGTTTTAGCTGGGCTTTTCAGCCTCTGCCTTTTTCAGGATGAACAGTGGCTGGGGGTTTTCCTCTGCACCAGGAGGAACTACCTCAAAGCCAGAGATTGCACATACACAAGAGTGTTGGGGGAGTTTCTTGTTTCTGGGTTCAGGAAGAATATGCTGCAATCTCTTGAAGGGAGCCGATGCTATTTCTAGGTATATGTTGCAGTGGAGCAAGCATCTTCCTCAAGATTTATATAGCCTTGAGAAGAGAAGCAGGAACAGCTTGAAACATGGATGAGTACACAAATCTTCACTTGGGACTGGGCAGGTTCTGAGACAGGTGGAAATATGGGCTTGGTCAAGGACATAAATCCTTATGACAGTGATTGCAATAATCTGCCGTCTGCAGGAATCCTTTCTCCTGGAGTGTTTCATACTTGCAATCAGAGACTACTTGTGAAGAATGTGGTCCTTAGAGACTTCCTGGCTCCACAGTATTCCTGTCTCCTGAGACATGCTAGACGATGCACCCTGTGTGATGGAAGCACCTCAGGGACTGTGCCAACACTGCCTGTACTGTGATGGAGTAGGAAGGGAGAAAAAGGAATGAAAGAGGATACAGAGAAGGAAACAGAATTGGGTGGGCTTAATCAGCTGAGTTTTTAGTATAAGGCAGGGGCATAATATAGCCTGGCCTTTTGTGAATCCAAATGTCTTTTAGGCAAAGGAGTATAATCTTTCACTAGTAAATATTTTTATAATCAGGATTTTTTGAATCTACACTCATTTTAAATAATTACTTTTCTCAGAGAAGACTACGTAATGAAGGGACACCAAGAAGAACACTGCTCCATTGATTCCTATCAAGCCATGGTGAATGATGAATACTGTAGTTTGACATTACACATAATTCCCCCAAACAAAGTCTCTGTTAAAAAAACAAACAGACAAACAAATCAGGATATAACAGGTCTTGTTGCAGCTTCCCTTGGGGGGAAAAATTACTTTCAGCTGTAAATATCACAAAATGTTGAGTGTTTTTTTTGTTTTGATTTGTTTTCTACATAGGGTTTAGATGCTTCATTCTTTAAATAAAATAGGGGCTAATTTTATATATATCAAACCAATTGCTTCCGAGTGCTTCTTGGTTCACTAAATAAATGGAAATTATTTAGCCATATGGCTTATTTTGTAGCAATAGGTAGATAATTGTTACATAGGTGTTATTATAAATAAATCCCATTACTTTTATTGGGGCAATGCATTTGACAAAAAGTGACCAAAATATTTTAAAAAAATCTGTAACTGAAAGAAAACCTCTATCTTTGCATTGAGTTTCATTTCCCTTCCTCAGACTATTTTTGGAAAGGTGATTGAACTATTTATTTTTGACACTAATAATTCCTCAAAATTAATTAACATGAAATTTCTCCTTTGTTATTCCACACAATCAAATGCCAAACCAGTGCTATCCTAAAATTAGACTGGTGCAGCTTTTAACAAGGGCTCCTATTCATCTGCAAATGTGTTGCGATTTTGCTTTAGTTGCCATAAATATTAACAGCAAGGGCTTTTTGTTCTTGTACTCCCTCTTGCTGCAGCCTGTTGCAAAGACTGAGGTTTCAAGTAATCTCAAGAAAAGTGCAAGAATTTGACACTTTATAACTGAGAGCCATTTTGCTTTGCTAAATCCTCAGATGGGGAGTTCATACATTCATGTATCTGGCAAGGAGGCTGGGGGCTGAGCAGATTCAGTCAGTGGGATTGCCTTCAAGTACAGGAAGGTGCTCAGCACCAATACCTGGTTGCAGTTTTCCTCAAATCCTGTTTATATTGAAGTATCTAGTCATGCTTATTAGCCAGCAGCTCTCTTTGAGGACAGTAGAACTTGTCTGGATTTTTTTCCTCTGGAAGTTCTGTTATGTAATTCCTCTGTTTCACTTCCATTTCTGGATCCAGAGCATTTTCACACCATCCAACCAACCACTAATGGGACAGCAAACCTCACACTCATGGTACAGGGTCTGCATTTTACTCTCTGGTGTCAGGCCTCCTTCCTGCTCTTACAGCTGCAGATATTCCCTAGGCCAGCTCTGCCAGGTGATAAATCAAGGGTAGATTTGCCATGGCAGGAAGGGAGCATGTTACCCTCTCCAGAGAAGCTCCTATTTCCAGTCAGGTGCTGAAGCAATACTCACGTGGCTGCACAATTACCATATCCATGCTGGTGTTGAATCCAGCACTCTTTGCCACAATCCTGGGACTGAATACTGGTTCTTCTCTTG